AGGGCATCATTTCGAAAGGGGGTTGGACTTTACAATGCTCTCCATTTACTTGCTTCAGGTGCCTTGTGCCCCGCAGGACAGGCCCCTCACGGACACGGCCCAGCATGCGGCACTGCGCAGACCCCCGGCTCGGCGTGACTGCCCCCGGGGACTTGTCCGAACCCGCTCGTGTCCTGGGTCTGGCAGACTCCAGCTAGCTTGGGGAGGGTCAAGTGAGGGAGGTCAAGGGGCCCCCTCCAGAGACACAAAGGGCGGCAGAAAGCCCCACTGCTCTGAGTCCTGGCCACCTCGCCTCACGCCTCCTGGGGAAAAAAACGCCTGGTTGCTCTAAAGGAACTCAAGTACTTCTTTACGTTAACCCCCTGGAAGAAAAATACAGCAGGAAAAACAAAATCACAAATGCCCTCTATAAAAAACGGGAACCCACATGAGCACCTGGAAAGACTTAAGGAGCCTTGTGTGTTTCCCTGAAAGATTAACAGCTGCGTGTGTGTCCTGGAACAGGGCGGCCGAGCGAGACCCCGGCAGGGGGGGCGATCCCAGCGGCTTCGGAGACTCACCTGCTGGGGGCACTGCGGGCCTTTCAGAAGCAGAATGCCACCCAGATGTGTCTGAGCCTTTGATGTAAAGGGAACAAGTCCTCCAACCCAGAGGGAGCCATGTGACCCAGCAGAGCAGCGCTCCGAAGGACGGGCTTCTAACAGAAGCGGCACTTGAAATCACAGCTGAGCCCAGGTGGGAATGTGCTCAGAGCTTCTCCCGCGGCCTCCCCGTCACCGCAGGCCCGCGCCTCGGCCCGCAGAGCCTCCCCGCGGACAGCCCTCACCCGCTGAACCCTACCCATCCCGTGAGATGCAGTGTCCTGAGGAAAACCTTTCAGGTGAGGCCAAGAATACTAGTGGGAAGAAGCGTGTCATCTAGTTCACAAAGGACAAAAATCAATTCTGGATGAAAACCTTTATAAGATTTCAGTCGGACTTCAGGATTGTGCTATTTTGCCATAATATTCTAGGTAGAATTACAGTGCATTTAAATATGGTACAAAAGAGACGTACAGCCTGGGAGTAGGGAATGAAGCAATGGCGGGGGGAGAAAAGGACACCACAGGTTTTAATTTCTTAATGCAGTTGTAAAATGCGAACAGCAATGGGCTTTCCAGTCCGGTTGGGTCTGGGACGTGACCAGTAAGCACATTTACTCACAGTGCCTGTGCGCACGTGCACACACGTACACACACTCCCACCTCACCCCCCACCCCACATACACCGGCAGCACATGCAACAGGTTCACCTGAAAAGGAAATGTAAGAAGGAATATAACTGACAGCTCAGTAAAGAACAGAACCATATGGAGAGGGCGTATCAAAACAGTCCCTTTAAATTCTGAGCTTTAAAAAGATTGAGTTTTTCCAAATTAAAGACTTTCCCGGTCCTTCCTCCAGGGAAGAAAAGAGGGGCTGGCCATGCCTCAAAACCCAGTTTTTTGTGCTTCACAAAATCCACAAAAGGAAAAGGTACAATATGGGCCAAGGGTTAGGACCCGGGGGGGGACTAGAATATCCATCAGTGAGCTCTGCTTGGCAATGAGCTATTGTTCTATATTTTCAGTAAGAAATCGGTTGTTCACAAAAGGGGATTCTATACAAAGCACTCCTCCCAAACAGAATACCAGTGGCTTGAATGCATTTTCTTTTGCATTTCTTTCTTTCTCTGACACGGCAGGACCTCAAACCACAAGTTCTCGACCTGTCCATCTTAAGAATTAAGTAAGTACACTTGTAAATAACGTATTTGGATTTTCAGCTGTGCTAGCTACAGCGTCACAAAAAACATTTTAAATGAGAGTTCCCGTCATTCCCTGCATGCCAAAGACGGGGCCTCAGGGCATTTAGGGCGGGGGAGGGGGGGACACACAGACCAACCCAGCAGGAGCCACGCACAGCTCCGTGTGGCCGAGGACAGCAGTGTCGGGCCAGGGACACTGTTCCCGCCACTGACCGCCCCGTCTCCCTTTGCGAGGCTGTGACCCGAGCACACCTAGTCTTTCCTGTAAGAGCCCCCATCTTCCCGTCTGCTCCCCGAACGGATCCGTGAGTAGGCAAAGCCTGGGAACTCCGTCCTTGGTGGGCGGGGGCGCGGGCTGGCCGCTCCAGGGGAGCCGGTGTCCCACGCTGGCAGAGGGGGCTCTACCCTGGGGGACCGTAGACCGGCAGCGCTCTGGCTGTGCGTCTCCGCAGCCCCCTGCCCGACACCCACGCAGGCAGAGCAGGAAAGGCGGGAACGAAGGGGAGCCATGTGACCTCAATGTGCCGTATACTTCCGTTGCTCTTATTTACCTTTCCGACCAGCTTAGTATTCAGAAGGAACTGAAGAGCCACCATCGGTTCCATTCCGTAAGACCCATTTCTGTTTCAGGGTTTACGGGCGCCGCCCGCCAGGCAGGGATCGTCCTGCAGTCCAGCACAGGAGACCCAGGCCCCTGGGGGGCCCACCTAGGCCACGCTGCCAGGAAGGTGCTAGAATCGGGGGAAGCACACAAGCGTTTCCGACTCCAGCTTCAATCCAACCGTGGCTTCCACGGCTTTAGAAAACTCGGTTTGGTCCCAATCCACACAGGTCTATGAAGGAAGTGTCTGGGTTTTGTTTCCTATCCCGTGATTGCTTTGGGAGCTTGGAACATTATGATGAAAGTTAACATTGGTGTATGGTTTGGAGTTGAGCAAATTAGTGCCACGTGGGGTTCGTTGCGGTGCCTTTCCGTCTGAGCTTGCAGGGCGGCGGCAAGAGCTCTGCTAACGAGCGTCTCGGCAGCTTCTTCGGGTTCTCTCCTTTCCCGTGGCCCCGCACGTGTCTCAGGCCTCCTGACGCCCTGGCTCAGAGAAGCACCCGGTCAGCGCTGCCGGCGCCCTGGGGCAGACAGGGGCGACGGTCGCAAGCCGCTCAGGCCACCTGTTCTAACGGCCCGTCCTACCGTGGAGGAACTGGCGGCTGACAGGGAAGGGCGTCCCCAGGCTCCCAGATCAGACGAAGACACGACCTCTGCCAGGAGACACACAACGCAGATCTGACTCCCCACATTGCCGCGAGTGCAGAAGCCAACAAGCAGACGCCCCAATGGGCAATATTTCACACACAGAAAAGGCAGTTCTCTCTTCGGTAATCAGGAGGCCCTAGCGCAGGGCCCGCCACCCTCCATGCGCGCCTTTGCCACTGATTTTCCCATGAACACTCACCCCGGCCAAATGTGCCACTGAAGACCCAGAGTCCAATGCCTGGCTCCAGAGGGGACCGAGAGGGGGCCTTGCAGGCCTGACACAGGCAGGCTGTGTCCCGGGTGGGCCCCGCGAGTCCTCCCCGGCTCGGGGCTCAGCCGGCGTGCCGTGTCACACCCGGGACAGAGGCTCACAGCTCATGAGGGTGCAGGCCGGCGTGCCAGCCGCTGGGCAAAGTAGAGCGTATCCCGCCTTCATCTCCAACTAGCACAGCACCTCAGGTGGCTGCCATAACCAGCGCTTCTAGAGATTTCCGCCGCAGTCAGGACTTAACTCTGCGTGCCCTCTGCACCGAGGCCTCCACCTCTGGGTCGGGCATGTAGGGTGGGCCGTCCGTGCCACCAACGACCGCCCTCTTCCCCTTCTCCAGGCCACGTGACCGTCACGACCAACACAACCCGGAGCGGACGCTTGGCCCTCGTCTGCTCAGAAGCCCGACAAAGGGAAAAGGGAGGGCGGATCCAGTATATATGTATGTATTTTCTACTTCTGCCTTTAACCGTCACCGTTCCAAGGATTCTATAATGATCTTTTACACTGTTAATGCCACTTGAATTGCCTCAAAACTCGGACTGCTAGATGTCTTGGTTTGGAATGCAGAGTTTGAGGTATCTGCGGTTACGTAACTCTGTAAAAATGAAAAGGGGAGCTGGGCTAACGTTAGGACCTGTGACCACAATCTCCCGTCACTTTGCTGAACAATTCTGTAAGATTAAAATAGAAAAGGCACATATCACCCTGTAAAGCAGGTGCTCAGAGCCAGCCTCCCGCCCACACCCCCCGGAGTTTCTATCTCTAGTATTTCTGACGCAGGTGGGAAGAGCCCCTGACAGACGGCGGGGCTCAAGGTCAGAGGGCAGTTTGGGTGCCCCCCACACTGTAATTCTGTGCTCCATGGGTACAGGGAATAGCTACAAAATTCCCTAAGAACAAGCACCCCCCCGCCCCCCGCCGCCCCAGTTATTCAACAGGAAAATTAAAGACCAGGTAATTTAATTACACAACTGAGACCACTTTCCTTCGCTCTGGCCTTCCGAGGTGTTCTTTCAAGTTCACGTGCTGTCTGAAAGGAAGATTTTTAATACCAGAAAGAACCCCTCTCCTCCAATACCCACATGGAAAATAAGACCAGAAATGAGATAAAAGTCCAGCAAGCAAGAAATCCCAGAATGATCCAATTTGGAAAGAATTTAATTAACAAAATAAAATGGGGGAAAAGGGCCCACGGGGGGCTCTGGGGAGAGAGCTCTCCCCATGGCTGATGCCCCCAAGCCTGGCAAGCCCAGAGAGGGCTCTTGGACCCGCCCAAGTAGAACCCACCTTGACACCCAGAACCGCTCTGCACGAAGCCACCTCCTCGTGTACACTCATCATATACAGGTTTTAAAAACCCAACAACTGACGTCATAAAACGCTGGCTTGGCACATTAATGCATGCAAAGCAAGGTTTCAAGGGCTTCACCAAACAGTTAATTTTGGCAAAAAGAGAAAACAAACAAAAAGCTAAGATTCCTAAGCA